GAAAATATCCAACATGCCCATAACCCCTGGAAAAATCGTCTCATTTTTTGTTCCTTAACTTATACCATCTATATTCAAGGTACTTTGCTGTAAAACAATTTAAGAAATGTGAAAACTATTAAGGTTTATTTAAACAAATCAGTGTTATATCAATGCCGTGTCAATCCAGTATCATTGTTATCAGTTACACCAGTATGGCTTCTTTCACTAATGATGAATTGACAATTATTGCCATAGCCCTATATGAAGAAAACGAAATGGGTACATAATGAATGGACCAAACGAGAAAGTATTACTTTACGAGTACATAGGCAATAAACATAAAATTACCACCTACTTTCATTTATTTTCCTGTATTATTTCAAATATTATTTTTAAAACTAGCGTCCATATATTTTTTGTGACAAATATGTACATACAATTCAGGAAAATTCCATACCGGCTCGATAAATAAAATAAAAAAAATTGATCGGGTCAGTTCATTAGTGAAAATTACGAATTGAAGAATGCGAGCGCGGGCAAACGAATACAAATACAGTTGCATTGGGCCACTGGGCAATAAATTTCAGCCGTTGACAAGTGGTCGACAAATTGCCCAGCAGTGCAGTGCAGCAATGAGGAATTTGGTGCGATTCAGGTAATTTTAATTTATTATAGGCACCTTCTATTAATCATTGATATTAGGGAGAAACAATATTATTACAACATGGCATTTGGAAAGACCTTTTGAAACAGAACAAAACGAAATTTACCATCAATATAATAACATTGTTTGAGGACATAAATAATTAAAATATGTTGTTGGCCAAATGAACATATAATAGAAATTTTCTGCACATTATATATAAATTATTATAATTTTTTACGTTTATCAGAAAATTTTTTTAGAGACGCCTATGAAACTCATTAAATTTTATTGCCAGGCGTTTTTTAACATGTTCAACTGACTTCGGAGAGACTACACCTAATAGTAAAATATGTCACTATGTTTGACATACCTATACAAGGTGTCTGCGAAAAATTGGCTTTTGTCACAGTTCATCTTCACTTGCCACACGAGTTGCGCAAATAAGTCTTTTCAAATCACCCCAGAAGTGTTAATCCAAAGGATTTAAATCTGGTGATCTAGGCGGCCAAGTGATTGGTCCTGACCGGCCTATCCATCGATATCAAAACCACTTTATTAAACCGTTATGACATTTTCTAATACAGTTTGGGATTTTCCGCCATAGCCGAGAAATAAAAAATAATTGGTATTTAAATAATTTGACCAATTTTTACTTATACCCTGTATCTTTGAAACCAGCAACATTTGCATAAAGCATATTTGTCACAATTTTTGCCACCAGTATCTCCAGCTTCGAGATTTCCCAAACTTTCTCGGACACCCTGTATAAACAGGTTATCTAAACCCTAAGCAATGATAATTTATTTTTCACAACAATTTTTCTGTACAAACATTTGGTTAAATAAATGTATAATACACATTTATTAATTACTTGGGTTTTGGCTAAAACAGAGTATAACTATTGAACAAAAAGTTTAGAAACAATATAAATTAAGGAAATAAATTTAAGCTTTTGATAGGCTTTGTTAAAAAAAAAATTGAAAACATTGAAAAACCTTATTTTTTCTTAAAATAATACCTCAAAAATTAATGGCTTTCAACTCAAAATACAATCCCTTGAAGAAATGGCTTAAAATAATTAAAAAATATAATTCTATGCTTCCAGCTGTTTTTATGCGTAATTTATTATTTTTATTACAAGATCATGTGCGATATGGATTTCAATTAATATGTATACAGGGTGTATCTAAATAACACCGAAAAAATTCAAGGGGCGATTCTCCGATGAAAATTAATAGGGGTCTTTGGTATAAAATTTTTTGAAAAAACCCTTCCCTGAAAAGTTACGCCCCTCCTAAAATTACAAAAAAAAATTGTTTTTCTTTTTTATCTTCCATGTACATCAAGCTAAAGAAACCAAACTTGGTGAACATTATCTGTCAATAAAACTACACTTTTTGAATTTTTTTCAACCCTGAACTATTTTTGTAAGGGGTTGAAATAATCAACCCCTATGACATTTTTTCTTATAATTTTTTTTTCGATAAAATTTTTTCCTTTTAAAAAATATGTCTAAAAAACCCCATTCATTTACTAACTTTTTGATCTCTTCAAGTTTCTTCGAAAAGTTAAGGATTTATGACAAAAAAAAATAAATGTATTGTAATGTATTTTTAAAAAGATGAGCTGTTTAACGCGAGTGTATTTTGCCGAAAGATCTAGTGGCCTGTTCTTTACAATGGAATCCGTAGAAACAAATGTCAATGTCATTTATTGTTACTGTTTCTTACTATTTCACAAGTTTCATGATTTTGTGTAGAAAATATTAGTTAATAAACCGAAAATATGGTTAACTATTCGAATTTAGAAATGGCAGATATGCATTTTACATATGGGTATGCTAACGGTAATGCATTGGAAGCGCAAAGACTTTATGCTGAACAGTACCCAGAGCGTAGATTACCCCACCATACTACGTTCACAAATATTCACCAACGCTTGCGGGAACTTGGAAAATTTGAAAAGAGAAGTCATGACTGTGGCCGTAGCCGAGAAGTTAGAACTGAAGCTGTCGATGAAGCCGTACTTAATTTAATTGAGGAATCCCCAGAAACTAGTACCAGGAAAATAGCTCGTGTCCTAAATGTAAGCCATTCGGTAGTTTTTAGAATTTTAAAAGAACAACAGTTATATCCCTATCATCTCCAACGGGTGCAGTCGTTACTGATTCGAGATTTTTTACCACATGTGGTTTTTTGTCAATGGCTTATTAATATGATCGGCCAAGCGCCGCAGATCTTAAGAAATATTTTATTTACTGACGAGGCGAATTTCTCAAAAGACTGTATTAGAAATTTTCGTAATAATCATATTTGGGCTGAGGAAAATCCTCATGACTTTTTTGAAGGAAATCATCAGTATCAATTTTCATTAAATGTGTGGCTCGGAATTATCGACGATCATTTAATTGGTCCCTATTTTCTTCCACGACGATTAGATGGTGACTCATATTGTCATCTTCTCGAAGAATTACCTATTATTCTTGAAGAAGTTCCCATTCAAATTAGGCAACGTTTATGGTTTATGCACGACGGTGCACCAGCCCACTTTAGTATACGTGCAAGACGTCACTTGGATGAGGTGTATGCCAATCGATGGATAGGTCGAGGAGGATATGTAAATTGGCCAGCCCGCTCCCCTGACCTTAATCCTTTGGATTTTTGCATATGGGGATATCTGAAATCTTTGATCTACTCAAGGCCAGTTGAAGATATCAATGATTTGCGAAACCGCATTGTAGCAGGGTGTGAAACGATAAAAAATTCACCAGGAATATTTGAACGCATACGCAATTCTATGAGAACAAGAGTAGATGCTTGTATTGAAGCTGAAGGCAATCATTTTCAACATTTTTTGTAGATTGTATTGTCAATATCCGACAGATTTTTATTTTTTGTTACTGTTATAACATTATTCATCATTTGTTCACTTTTAGTCTAAGTTCCAAACTTCTTAGCCTAGTAGAATCATAGGTCAACTATTTGGTTGAGTGTTTTTTAATAAAATGTTATTTAATATGACAATAAATGACATTGACATTTGTTTCTACGGATTCCATTGTAAAGAACAGGCCACTAGATCTTTCGGCAAAATACACTCGCGTTAAACAGCTCATCTTTTTAAAAATACATTACAATACATTTATTTTTTTTTGTCATAAATCCTTAACTTTTCGAAGAAACTTGAAGAGATCAAAAAGTTAGTAAATGAATGGGGTTTTTTAGACATATTTTTTAAAAGGAAAAAATTTTATCGAAAAAAAAATTATAAGAAAAAATGTCATAGGGGTTGATTATTTCAACCCCTTACAAAAATAGTTCAGGGTTGAAAAAAATTCAAAAAGTGTAGTTTTATTGACAGATAATGTTCACCAAGTTTGGTTTCTTTAGCTTGATGTACGTGGAAGATAAAAAAGAAAAACAATTTTTTTTTGTAATTTTAGGAGGGGCGTAACTTTTCAGGGGAGGGTTTTTTCAAAAAATTTTATACCAAAGACCCCTATTAATTTTCATCGGAGAATCGCCCCTTGAATTTTTTCGGTGTTATTTAGATACACCCTGTATATTTCCTTGGACATAGCCGAAATAAACGACCTTTAAAGGTGCAAATCAGCTATTTCAAAACAAAAACACTTATAACATATACAGGGTGTTTCATAATGAGGTGTTTAGAAAGTAATTTTAGGGGGGGTACTTCCTATATATTTTTTAAATTTAAGTTCCCCTGAGAAAATATTCAAATCTCAAAATGGCCGAAAAAATTAGCTTTTATTTTTTTTCAGGAAAACGTTTAAACTTAGAAATTTGAATTTTGGTACACGTTAACAATTAGTTGAATGGTATTTTTTGGTAGTCTTTTTTCTGGTTTATGTCTGATTGAAAGAAATTAGCACCCCTTGATCTTATTTCTCTCACAACTTTTTTGTACGTTAGTCAATTCCAACAAGACAAATTAAACAGCTTTTAATACTACATTTCAGACACTTTTTTTACTCTTCCCATTTTTTCGTATACTTAATGGTTTACCAGCAAAAAAATTAATTATTTTTCCAAGGCGATTAGGTACTCATAAGTAGCATAACAGTTACCAAAAGCGATCGTCATTTTTGACGCATTTTTTGCAAAAGTTATTTTTTTATCAATAGGAAAAGCTAAGCAAATATGAACTAAAAATTTAATAAAAAAAAATGAAACCTAATTTTTTCGGCCATTTTGAGATTTGAATATTTGCTCAGGGGGGGCTCAAATCGAAGAAATGTATTGGAAGTACCCCACCTAAAATTACTTTTTAAACACCTTAAAATATTTGCACATCATTATGAAACACCCTGTATTAGTCACCGAATTTTATTTCTGACAAAACCTGGACTCACCGTGGAAGTGTAGAAGGGCGCCTGGTCGGCTCCAAGGGCGGGAAAGTACGCCGCCATCCCCTCGGGGTAGGGGGCGCTGTACATGGAGAGCGCGGGAAGTCCCGGAACGCCGGCACCGGCCAGCCTTTGATAACCTAGAAGTTCATATTGACACGAGCACACACTCTGGCCGGTTATGGGATCGGTGAATATCGGCCGGCCCGTATCACAGCATCTTTGGGAGGACGCGGGTGGACTGCCTGGAGTTGGCGCCGAGGACGTTACTGCCATGGTGGTTGGAGGTGGTGAAGGTTGACTAGGACCCGAAGATACTGCACTCTGAAAAAAGATATTCTTTAGTAAACTGTAAGCGAACGATTAATATAAGCCACTAAGGTGTAGGCACGTTTCAAAGGGGGTTTACAGGAAATAATAAGGACAGTTTTTTTATATTTTTTGGGTACATAGTAAGTGATAAATCCTCCACTGTGAGTTTCTGATGATTTTGGCAATACAAGGAAATCTGGCTTAAATAATTGTGAAGAGAAGCTTGAATTAGATAGAACATAGTCTATGCAGCAGATTCAGGTAAAGGCTAGAGACAGAGCAATATGTATGTGATGGTACGATGATGTGTGAGCATAGCTACTAGCTTGTGACTCTAGCCTCCATCTGAATCTGAACCCTTTGATGTTCCTTTATGTTCGTATCCTAAGATCTTATGTAATGAGATGCGCGCATAGTCTATCCATCAAATTCAGATAAAGGCTACAGACAGACCAATAGGTATGGTATGGTACGATGATGTGTGAGCATAGCTACTAGCTTGTGACTCTAGCCTGCATCTGAATCTGAACTCTTTGACGTTCCTTTATGTTTGTATCCTAAGATCTGTTGCATTCCGAAAATGAAGAAATATTCTTGAATGTACTACGAGTTTTTGGTGATTTTGGTGAAAAATGGGTAAGTAGATAAGAGATGGTAATAGGGGGAGAATTTTGCAAAGACCGAAGTGCACCTTGAAGAACAGAAAGTATTCCTGGATAAACCCTAATTTTTTTCTGATTTTGTGCGAAGTGGGAATGTTAAAAGTTGCAGGAAAGGAAATTGATTAGGATCTGAAATAATTTCACCTTGAAGAAGAAAAAGCATTACAGTATGAATTGATTCTTTTTTATTTCGATGTTAAACAGAAACTGGAAAAATGATTAAAAAATTGTGGTTGAAGGAACTATATTTGATAAGGATCTGAAGTTAATTTACTCTGAAGAGGAAGCACTTTTTAATGAACTGTTATTTTTTTCTGATTTGGCGAAATGGTTAAAACATAATAAAATATAAAGATTGGAAAGGAAGATTGGCCAGGACCCGAAGAAATTGTACTATCAAATTTTTACTAATTTTGGTGATTTAAGAAAATTATGGTTGAAAAATAACGTTGACTAGGATTCAAAGTTAACTGATCTATGAAAAACAGAAAGCGGTAATGAAGGGAAGAAATGTTAATTTCTGCCGATTTTAGTGTTAAATAACAATGTGGTTACAGAAATGGTAGTTGGAAGAAAATAAGGTTGACTAGGACCCGAAGATATAGTACTTTGGAAAAGCAAATGTATTTTTAAATGAGTTTTTATTGATTCTGGTGTTAATGCGAATGTGGTTGGATCGGAAAAGATGAAGAAACGATCTACAGAGAGTGTACTGGAGAAAACTAGTCGTAAATGAAATTTTGATTATGATAGGTACTACATTGGTTAAAAAAATGGTTTTCGAAGGAAAGAAATTTGTATCAGATAGAAATGTGGGTATAAAAATGATGGTTGGAAAAAAACTATTGACTAGGACTTAAAATCGCTGTGCTCTAAAAATTAAAACGTGTTTTTTAATGAATTACGTATGGTTTTGTTAATTTTGGTATTAGGCGGAAGAGAAAGTGGTTCAAAAATTGTGAATGAGAAACAAGATTGACCAAAATTTGCGCTCTGAATGAACAACTGGAAGATTTAACCAACTTTGATGAATATTGCCTAGAAGTGGCACTTTTAAACATCTCAGGATATTATGCGATTCAAAACTATATTTTTAATTGCATGTTCATAGTATAACTAAGTGTATAGTGTTTTAAGACATTGGGCTACATTGTTCACTTTACTCGAGATTTCAGTAACATTGACAATTAAGAAATACTACAAAATTCTTTGATTAAATCCAATCCTGAATATGGAGTCATAGTTTCGTGTCCATATAATATACATACCAGTAGTATAGAGAGGATTTAGGGACAATTTCCTAAACTTCTTCGCTTCAGTCATTAGATATACCCACAAAGACCTAAATAGGTTCATATTTATCTCACAGGAGAATCGTAGAGCAATTAATGTGATACTTTTTTCGTTTAAGTTAATTCTTGGCTTTGTTGACCGTTTTCCTACACGCTTTACATGTTCAACTTTCACATACCCGAGGTAACCATCAGCAGTTCTCTCTCTCTCTTCCTGTAGTTCGAACTAACATAAATATTCTCTCCGTTTATCAGAATTTGTATTAACTCTAACATCTGAATTTGTAGATATATTTCACTGAGGCATAACCTCTATTAAATAACTTAATTACTCTTTTGGATCATGTTGCAATTAATAGTTGTTTATAATTCTACGTTATTTTAGTTAGTTTTACACAACTATTATTTTTATTATTAGTTTTCTGATTCGGTCTCTTTCCTTCCAACCCTCGCCCTATAATTGGATTTAGTCTGTTGGGCAGAGTGTGGTAAATAAATAAAGTACTCAGTAAATCAAAGCAGATATTTACTATAATATACAGTGTTAAAAAACTTTAAATGTCAAAAATTTAAAGGTGAAAAACGAGCAAAAACTGAGCACAAGCTTGTATCGAAAGTTTAAGATCGTAGAGAAAAAATTAAAAATGTGTTTAAAACTATTTTGGGACTGCTGAAATACATGTATTTTATCGCGGCAAGTACTTACAAAACATTCTGTAACACTTTTTACGAGTTTGTAGGTTTCTTATTCGAAAGTCATTTTGTAATACATTGTTTTAGTGATTGCTGTGCTGTTTTTCGAGAGTACCTACATTCAATAGCCGTATTTCTAAGTTTTCTTTTGAAAATGGCGCATTTATTTAACAATCGCGAATATTATGATATATTCATAATTTATGGCGAAGCAAACGAAAGTGCCCACAAAGCTTGTCAAGTGTACCGTGCAAGATATTCTGAACGACGTGCCCCCGTATCGCGAACATTTGTTGCTGTAGCGCAAAGAGTTTTGGACACCGGTGAAGTACAACCGCGTCGAGGTCGCGACGGTGGCCCAGGGCGACCACTAAGAATCTTAAATGTCGAGGAGATGATTTTAGATGTCTTCGAAGAAGATCCGCACCGCAGCACAGGAAATATCGCACAGCAAGTAAATATTTCGCATCCTGTTTTGCGGCAGACATTACGAGAAGCTCAGTTGTACCCATTTCATATTCAACACGTTCAAGCGCTTACTCCTGAGGATTTTCCACTACGTCGAGGGTTTTGTGAATGGTTGATTCAGGAACATAGAAAAAATCCTCAATTTACAGCGCAATACTTGTTACAGATTATTGAAAATCCACACGAAATACGTCGCGGTGGCTTTCTTCAACAGTTTTCAGTGAACATGTGGGCGGGTATCGTTAATGACACTTTAATAGGACTTTATGAATAGCCTAGACGCTTAGACGATGCTTCATATCTAGATTTTTTTGTAAAATCGCTTGCTGGAGTTATTAGAAGACGTTCCATTAAATGTTCGGCAAAATATATGGTTACTGCATGACCGAGGCCCCGCTCACTTTTTTCGGAGAATGCGTGACTTTCTAAACATTACTTTTCCCGATCGCTGGATAGGCCGCGGCAGCCTAGTTAGATGGCCTCCCGGTCTCCGGACCTCACTCCTTTAGACTTCTTTTTGAGGGAATATGTGAAAAGTGACATCGACCAACTGCGACATCGTATTGCCGAAGCTTGTAATACAATTCGAGAGGACGTGGCAATATTGCAAGGCGTGCGAGCGAATTGGATACGTCGCGCTGATGCTTGTGTGCAAGTAAATGGTGGGTACATCGAAACATCTTCTCAGTTCTCAAAAGGTGGCTCCTTGCAATGTTGAGGTAAATCAGATTTTAAAATTACATTTTACTCAAAACAAATCCGTGTATTTACCTCATTTTGACATAACAGACAAAAATATTTGACATAAGTTCATTAACACCCTGTATAATATTCGATATTGGTATATACAGGGTGTTAAAAAAAGAGTGTAAAATATTTCAGGAGGTAATAGTATGAACCAAAATAAGCAGAAAAGTCTTAATAAACATGGGTCCGCAAAGTAACGGTTGCGGAGATATGGACCACTATTCGTTTTTCAAACATTTTATTTTATTAGGAATAAACCGACAAAGGAAGCTTTTAACAAACAAAAAACAAAGTTACAGAAGATGTTCAAAGTGCCCTCCGTCCATTTCCAAGCAGGCACGACATCTTCGTCTCAACGATATTCGAACTCTTTCGAAAACACCCTCCTTGGTTTGGATTTCTTGACACTTTTGATTAATCCGTAGCTGCAGCTCTTCCAGGCTATTTACAGGAGTACCATACACTAATGTCTTCAAATATCCCCAAACAAAGAAATCTAGAGGGTTCAGATCAGGCGATCTTGGAGGCCATAAAACAGGTCCGGCCCTTCCTACCCATCTATGTGGAAAAGTTTGGTGTAAATGCTCTCTAACGGCCATGGAAAAATGAGCTGGAGCACCATCATGCTGGAACCACATTTGTTGCCTCTGATTCAAAGGAATGTCTTCCAAAAACTCATACAGTGTGTTCTGCAGAAAGTTGAGGTAAGCAGCGCCTGTTAATCGGTTTGGTAAAACAACAGGACCTAGAAACCTGTCACCTACAATACCCATCCAAATGTTTAATGAAAAACGTGCCTGATGTCCAGATTCTATTAGAGCATGAGGATTTTCGTCGGCCCAAATATGCGTATTGTGAAAATTAAACACTCCATTTCTTGTGAACCCGGCCTCATCAGTAAAAAGAATGTTTGCAAGAAAACGAGGGTCTTCAGCATCATGACGTAGAAACCAGCGGCAAAAAACCAAACGTGCTTGATGATCATTTATTGGATTTAAGGCCTGTACTCGTTGCACATGGTATGGATAAAGCAGTTGCTCGTGAAGGATTCTCCAAACAAGAGGACCACTAATTCCTACCTCGGCTGATATTCTCCGCACACTCGTACCTGGATTCTGCTCTACCAGTGCTAGAATTTCTTCTTCTGCTC